GAGGTCGGTGACCTAACTTACGCTTCCTCAAAGTGCAAAGCTACGGCAGCCCCGCTGCGCCCTCTATCAAGACCGGAGCCATCTCGTGGCTGCTTCGAAGGGACAAAAGTTTATCTCAACTTTATATATGAGAATGCAAGCCCTGTAGAGCCGTGCACTGCCACGTTTAGCGTAAAATCAATGATTAGAGCATTTTGCTCCGGTATGTCGGTTGCTCACGGGAAATATCTCGATAAAGGTGCAGCTATTGGGTCGGTCTCAGTTTATTATGACCGTTATGACAGGAGAACAATTCGGGAGCCTCCTCGAGTCCGGCTAGGTGGTCGTTGGCCGCAGGAGCTACACTCTTTGTCGCTGAATCGTCGACCCATAACGTTAAGGAACTTTTGAAGCGTCTAATAATTGGCGTAGAGGGGCTCATAGGGCTTATATTTACTATGTAGGCGGTCTTTTATTAAGTCGAAATGAGATGCTCACGTTCCCTATCAGTGGGTGAACTATCCAACAGGATTTCACCCTATGATAGTGTACGTACACATTGCCCTATCGTTGATTTGTTCTTCTATGCAAAATTCACAATTGACTTTTAAGAAGTAATGAATAATCATACTCCTGGGTACATAGTTCTCGGTTAGCAAGTCACAAAACACTTGGCAGCTCAAGCGAAATGAATTTGATGCTTATTCAGATGAAATTCTGTTCCACGTTGTTTTACGCTATCAGGGCTGTGAAAAGCAACACGTGGCTTTATTATGCCCACGGATGCCACACCCTTCCACACCTATATGGCTTGCGTGAGTTACCGCCTTTTTCTTTGCGTGACCTGATGCATCACTTCCTCAGTCTCCCCGCCTGACGAACAAACTGGGCTGGTAGTACACTGGTGTCTGGTCCCGAGGCCTATGCTACCTCGTGTAATAATAGAGCGTATCCCCTAGCCTGTACAGGAGCTGGTTAGAAGGACGGACGGTCACTTCAAAATTCGAATGGAAGCATCATTTTTGGCTCTGACTTCAGACTCTTGACTTGCTCGCTTTCAACGACGTTTGTGGAACACCAGCCATAGAGTGGTCATGTCTCGAATTGTGAAAACAGTGTCCATCGCTTAGCAGGGATCGCACATTATTATGACGCTGCACTGGTGTTGACTTTCTCGAGCTTTAGTATTTCAGCGTTGAAGGCTGAATCTGTCGTTGCCGCATTTGTTGCCAACACGAACTTATCCTGGCTAACTGCAAGACGGACAGTCTTGTCTGCTCTTATATTTCCTGTTTTTGTTTGTAACCGTCAGATATCAGGCTTATCCACTTCAAGATGAGCATCAACGCGAAAACGCACGTACCAATAATGTGTCAAATGCATTGCATGCTAAAGATCCCTAGACTAGTCGCATCTAACACAACGCCGAGATTTCGATCACTGAAAGTGGGACACGACCTGAGAGGAAAGCCATGAAAAAATCTGGCACCCACAGAACCATGCGTAGTTGTCGTAATCCTCGGGTAAAGCAAGTGCCACAGCAGCGACTTGGTTGGCGAAGTTGCCGTCGTGGCAGAAATTGAGCTATCTTGACTCCATTGTATCTGCGTTGCTTCATGTGCGCTGCGTCGAAGTCATACACTCCCTGGCCGTTCTGAAATCAATCAAAATTGAGCAATATGATGGCTCGTCTGAAGTAGCCACTCTTTAATCACTTGAAGGCTGTGTGAGCTCCCGGATTGAGTCGCTGGAACTTTTATAGGTAGGTGGGCAAGAGGTGCACTGTTGTTAGATCTTCATAGAACATCTCAGCAGCAACATTTTCTTTTGCGCGGTACATTGTGAAGCCGTGGCACCATTTTGATGTCGTAGTTGAGTGATGAGCGCCAATGCCGATGAGGATGGGTCGGATGCAAGGGCGGACCGATAAACAGTATAAGCACTGTGCTGTTTACGACTTGGCTTTGCTCTAGCTTGGCATTTATGTGCTATAAGTATAAAAAGTCAAATGCCAGTCCCCTGACCCTCCCTGGCGCAAATGAACAACGTTGACGAACCATTTGCAGCGAATTTTAACCCCCATACACACGAGCTTTCGAAACAAAGTAACTCGACTTATCACTCGAGCGCTATTCGACTGCTGGAAAGCAATGAGCTTGATGTCGTCCACGGCTTCTTCATCTCTTCTCCCCAAGCTCGACAAATTCGCTGTACCTGGTAACTTTATCTTGCTCGTACTCTAGATGGGAGCGGCACAGCTAAATATGGTCAGCGTTGCCTTACCTGAAGTTGGCTACAGCTGGTAGTTTGTTTGGATGAAAAAAAAGTAGTATTTGCTACTCTCTTACAGCAATGCAGAAATGATTCGTTTATTTCATTACCTGCTGCGTGATTTGTATTTTCCAAATGAACAAGCAGTAACGGTATTCTACATTCGATTACCGCCAAGCATCTAAAACGCTTTTCCTTGACCAACTATTTCCAAGCACCAGATTTTGACGAGGACGTTGCTCGCATCAATGTTGGCAGTCTTGCTGAGCCCTGCGAACTTCCACGTTTGCTGATTGATCCACTTTGATCTGTGCCAGTGTCATTACTCGATGTAATGTTTAGCTGCAAGCGTGATCCGGATGATCGTCTGACGACGGTACGAGCCTTTGAACTACGACTTGTACCACCCACACTTTCGCCATCTTGCTGATTTGAACCAGGTGAGCTAGAAGGTCGAGCGTTTTTCGACTTTTTCATCGGAGGCGACGACACCGGAAGCCGCGGTATCAGTGAGCTAGTACTTCTTCGTCTAGCTTCGGTCAGCTGCATTCGTAGCCTTTTGATATCTTCATCACGCTCCTTTAGCAGCTCTTGAAGCGCCTCCTGCTGTGATGAAGATACGCGAGTTTTTGCGTTTTGTTGTCGTAGCAATCGCTGAGCAGTTTCGCGCTGTTCCGCCTCTTTTGACTTGATGTCTCGCTCCGCTTTCAGCTGGATACTAAGGTCATCCACAAGCTTCTTCAAAGAATCATTTTGAGCTTTAAGACTCTCGTTCTGTGTTTCCCATGACTTAAGCCGGTTCTGCAGCGTTGCCGACTGTTTTTCCGACTGGTTCTTCTGGTCTCGTTTCTGAGGGAGAGGAGGCATCGGAACCGTGACGTGAGAACAAATGCCTCCCCGAGCTTAAAGCAGACCGATAACGACTTACCAGAGCAACCACAGACTGCTGAGACTGCATATATTTTCTCTTGGAGATCTGCATCTGCTGCTTCAATGACTGCAACTCAGCGAAAGCCTTTTTGGCCGATAGAATATCCTTCTTATTCTTCACTATCTGGTTCCTACCCACCACAATATTGCGCACACGTTCGGCCAGCTGGAGTGATCGATAGGTTTCGCTTGCGTTTTCGATAGTTGGACCGACGTTCACAATCATCACAGTCTTGCACGACGAATTCAGCACATCTTGAAGCAAATACGTTAGTTTTGAGTTACGGTATGGAACGTGCGCCATCTTCTTGTCCAATGCCTCCATCACATCGGCCAAGGCGGAGAGGGATTTATTGATATGAGCAGCTTCTTTCAGCATTTCCCCACTCACGTTACTTTTCTTGACCCTCTCCGAACCAGCCAAATCCACAAGATATAGCTTACCGCATCCTTCTTCTTCAACGCCAACTTCTGCCGGATCTTGGTCAGGATAGCTACTTTCTGGCCTGCGTTTCGAAATTTGCAAAATTACAATGCTATGCGATCGACTACTGTGCATGTTTGAGTTCGTCTTTCCTGTAATACGGTTACTTTGCGCATTTCGAAGCACGTCAATTGTTTGCTGAGGAGAGGACACGGTCGCCATAGTCAGGTCAGGAACATGAATATCACCTGTCGATGAGTCGTGCCGGATCTCAAGGCCTTTGGAATTATTTGTGTTGATCAGGTCTCGTAATGAGTCGTTATAGATTTCTAGCACGCCAACTTGAATGTGGTACATGAGAGAATCAACGGTACCTTGCAAACCGTTCATCTCGTCGTCGTCTTTAACTTGATTGTTAGCAGCCTCAGGAGTGTAAATAGCCCCACGCAAATGAATCGATTGGAAGAGGTGGCTAATTATCCTGTAGTTTAATCCGGGATCGCTCGAGGTACCTTCCATTGTGTAAGTTTTTCCTGAACCCGTCTGCCCATACGCAAAAATGCACGCCTTAAAACCATCTACAACTGACTGTGCAATGGGCTCCACCTCACGAAAAACATCGTTTTGAGTCTCTTCTGGGCCCAGGATTCGATCAAATGTAAAAACTTTCCAAGTGCTATTGCTTGTCAAGGTCTCTGTATTTTCATTGCTGACAGTTGTACCATCCGAGTCGGTAGAAAACGAGCGCTCCTGTCGAATATCCAAAGCTGCCAAATCAGATTGGTTTACCACATTGACTGCCAGCTTTGACCCCCACGACTTATCCAATTCTTCGTTGATGATCGGTCGCACTCGACAATATACTTGAATATTTCCGCAAACAGTCTGCAAACGCGACAGCAGAGACGCATTACGCGTTCGTTCAGCCAAATATTTACGAGCAAGCTGCTCAGGTGTAAAATTCAATTGCAGCACGTCAGCAGACACCCGCTTTGCTGGCACCACACTCGAAGGCATGCCCTCTTGGTTCCTTAGTCGAGCATTTTCAGCCGACAAAGAGTTCAAAGATGTTCGCAGCGTTTTAATTTCGATGATCAGCCGCTTCGACTCAGCTACCTCCTTCTCGATAAGAGGTGCAACAATCGGAGCAGTCGATAACGCCGATGAAAGCTCAATCTCTTGAGATCTCTTTTTCAATTCATTGAGCTGCTTTTGAAGATCAAGATTCATGCTGTGAAGCTTTTGCACTTCCTGGCGATGTTGAGTCATTTCACTCTCGTCAAATTGCACTTTTTTTTCAAGATCGATTCGTTCTTGTTTGCTTTTATCCATTTTTCTCTTTAATGTCTCCACTTGATCCTTCCACTCCTCCGCGGCTTCAGTCTCGTGTTCGAGCTGTTCTTTCAGTTGACATTCATTTTCAGCGAGGTCATCACATTGCGACTTGAGAACGTCTAGTTCGTCTCTTAAATTGATAATTTCCTTTTCCTTGTCGTCAAGCTGACGCTGCGTGGCCTCACGTTCGTCCGTAAACTCGATGCTTCCGTCATTAGCTGTGACCAACTCGGATTGAAGCTTAAGTAGGGCCTCTCGAAGGTCTTCAATTTGCTCGTCACGACTCCGAATATCTTGTGATTTGCCGATCAATTCATCCGTCATTTCAGTTATTTCTGCTTCCATTGCCTCCATGTGGGCAAGACTATCGCGCAGTTGCCGTAGCTCGGCTTCTGCGGCTGTGCGGGCCTCTAACTCGTCCTGAAAACTTGTTGAGAGGGCTTTAATCTCCTCTCGCAGCGACTCGATGAGAACCTCGCGACCAATCTCGTCACGTTCGTGTACCGTCAATTGGTGGAGTGAATTTGCGTTATAGCTTGAGTCGTAGCCATCATCGTCATCCTCGGAAGGGCTACGTGTCGTGGCCATACTGTCGTTTCCCGAAAACGTCTCTGACGTTGCTGTAGCATCCTCAAATTTCTGTTGTAGCGCGTAAAGTTCGGACTTAAGGTCCATAATCTCCGTTCGAAACCGCTCTGCGGCCAATTCGTGCTCACGTTGAAGCTCCTCTTGGTCGCTCAGCAAGAACACCTTTTCTTCAATTTCGCGTTCCATCTTGTGTCGCAGGTCAGACTCAGTAGCTTGCAGAACACGCACTTGCGTCTCAAGGTCGTCTTGCTGCTGCTCGAGTTTGCGAAGCGCCTGTACAGCTGTGTCTAACTCGAGACGGGTGACTTGGAGCTCATTCTCGAACTGGCGAGTTTGATCCAGCGCTTCTTCCAGCTTCCCACGCGTAAGCTGCAGATCGCGCTCCAAATTTTGATTCTTGGTAAGTAAGTGTACATTGCGTTTTTCGACGCGAGACAGTTCCTGCTCCAGCTCCAGCTCTAACTCATGACTAGATTGCGTGTACTCGTCAAATTCGTCTTGCATCTGCTTAAGCTCTTGCGTTTTCTTACGAATTTCTTCACGCAAACACACAATGCTTTCTTCATCTTCTGATCCGCTCTCCATCGTGCAGCGGTGACGATAGAGTTGATAAATGGGGAAATTAACACAAAGCTTCTTTCTCGATCACGGCAGAGGGAGGAGAAGAAAGGAATGAAAAATTTCGCTTATATGCTGAACATTGTACCGGTTCCTATGCTAAATTAGAACCGGTAATAGCCACCAAAGGATTTTTGCGATCTTCTACGAATTAACAAAACGCAACAAGTTTGCACAAGGATGCTTACGATACTTATCGCTGTGATATATGCTGTGCTCGTGAGACCTTCTACGGTGAGCGCTGGATTGTACGATAATTGGGCGCCACATCGCTACTGTAATGCCATTGATGATATTGAGGACACGCGCATCCCGCCGCTCAGCCCTGGTCAGGCCGAACGCGTCCAGTCGCTGGAGCAAGTGCAGGTTATTGCCCGTCATGGAGCTCGGGCTCCCTACGCCAGACTGTTTTGTTGGGAATCAAACGTACACAACCCCATGGGTGCTGAGTGGAACTGTACTACCGCCTCTGTCTCGGTACGCATCAGACATTTTGTGCACCGCTATGGATTCTGATTGTACGCTCTGTTACATCGACTAGTCACAAGACATTAATCCGAATGAGCACACAAAAGGTTTTGGTCGCTTGTACCGCAAATCTTATATGAATGGACACAACATTCTTAGAGGAGACTGCATAGTTGGTGGATTGCTCCCACTTGGACGTCAGCAGCAGAAAACTAACGGACGGTACGTGATGCATTATTGCTCCATTGCGTGTCGCTCCTTATCAATCTTGTCATAAGGTTTCTACGTGATTCATACGTGGGTGAAAGCCAGCTTAAACTCTTTCCTACTGCCAACTTGTCGGTACGTGGCACGAGTTGCTGGTGCAGATGTATTTTCGCCCAACTCTAACGCTCAAAGTGCACTATAACTGCAAATATGGTAGCACTTGGAGTTAAGCAAAATTTACCTTCGCAGCGACGATCAAGAGCGGACACTAGGATCGGGTCAAGCGCTGGTTGATGGATTGTTCCCAGTTGACGGAACACAGTCCCTTGAGCTCCATCACATGCTGTCATGGGACGTTGCAGATATTTCAGTAGACTACATCAACCCCAATGAGAACATTTGTCCTTTGATGGGGCACATTGGTCAATTGGCTAATGAATCTCCAGAGTTTTGGAACCACCTTCGAGACCCATCGACAGTCGAAATCGAGCACCATTTTAGGGATGTCGTCGGTAATTTTTCTTGGAACTCCGTGCTAGAATGTTTAAGCACCGCCAGATGCAATAATCTGGAGTTGCCGCAGGGTGTCGATGAGGATACATTCACAAAGACATTCCATGAGGTTGAGGTGCGCCAGAGTATTTTCTTGTCTTACAACAACTCGGAGTATGCCAAGCTCGCTATGCAGCCGCTGGCCCATGACATGCTCCGTCGGCTCGATAGTGTGCTTGACGAAGACCCCCACGCCTACAAGCTCTCTGTCACGATGGGTGCGCGTGCTTACTAATTGATACTTTCGCATTTAAACAAATTCATTGCTGGCTATATCTAATGATTGCTTGCAGCCCATGACTCTACCATTATGCCATTTCTGGCTGCCACAGTAAAAGAGAACTGGGACCGCCTGTGGACTCCGTATGCAGGCATGCTGGTGATTGAAGTTTACAAGACAAAGAATAACTCGCATGCGATTCGAGTGATCTTTCATGGTGAACCTCAACATATTCCGGAATGCCATGACAGTACGTCTCACAATTTACAAAGTGTGGTTCTTTTTTTAGTTGGCATTAAACTTGTTGCTGCAGCGTTATGCAATATTGATGATTTTCTTAGTGCCTTTTCGTTCGCGCGCAAGCCACGTACCAATCATGATTGTGTGTTGCCCAAGGATAAAAAGGAGAAAAGCAAAGACCAATCGAACCTAGCGACTACGCTGGCAGGTGGTAACGCAGGAGCCAAACCCTTTGAGTATCATGGAAGCTATTTGCTGCTGGGGGTGGTTGGCGTCGCTGGTCTGCTCGCTGTACGTGCGAAAGTCCGGCGCACTCGGCAGCACGATGTTCTCGGTGACGACGAGGCTGTCTCTCTTCTCCCGTGATTTTTCTTTTTACCCCCGGAAGTCCTAGGCTTCAGCCGAATTTGAAAGCGGTGCTGTCCACATTGCCTCTTCTGAGTATATTTGCTGAAGCAGCCTTCATTTACAAAAACGACTTTAGTGGAACCCACGAAATCAACCATATTGGTCCGCTGTTTGTGTGGATATATCACGTTTCAGAAAATCTTTTTCACCCAGGACGTATTCAGCGTACGTAAGGAATAAGCCTGAATACTTTTCATTAACTGTATTTGCTCGAGACATTATATTCTGCATTGCAAGTCAAAATAGGTCAGCATGGGCATTCTCAGACATTTTAGTACTTTTCGCGAATTTGATTCTAGTATGATCACATTTCTTGCTTGTGATTGGCTGATAGGCTTTATTTAGAAGCCCACCACAATGAATTTGGGTCGTTGACAGAATGTTAAAAATGCCTACCAAACGTAAAGCATTCCATGTGATATTCCATTTCTTTGTTTATTATCGGTGAGCTCGTGATCACTCAATATATTGACATTGATGGTTCATCATATGCACTGGCTTCGCATTACAACTAAGGAACAACGGATCACACAGGGCACAGATATTTGGCCCCGTCATAAACGTCACATCTACAAGTTCTACGGTGCCGTCCCAAAATGTTTGAAGACATTTGAAAACATTCACAGCAAGACTATGGTTTAGTTTTTTAAGAAATGAAAAAAACCATTGCGTCGCGTAAAACGCTTCAAAATATGTCATTGGCCGCGCATTACAGCAACCTGGTGAGAGAGAAAACTGATCATGTTCCAGATGGCGGAAAAATGTTTGTTACGGGAGACTGCACCGTCTATTGCGATGAAGTATGTACTGTTGAAATTCCAAGTGCATCTCTGAGCTTTAAGCACTACATGGGCTTTACAGACTGCGCGTGTTTGATTTCAGCCTTACATACGTCACATTTATCACATGTAAAGCCATTCGTTGCAATGTTTTGAGTATATCAGTTTCAGGATTAACAACAAGCTCAGCAAGCCTAAATTGCTCCCCAATGTTTTACCGCGTAGATCTGTCTCTGAGCTGGCATACATACTAAATTCACGATGAATCTCAGCTACAGAATCTGCAAGGGTTGCCGTGTAACCTAACCAGGGATTATATGTGACTTTCCAAGTCTGCGTAAATAAATCCAGGGGGTCGAATTCGTGCGCTTATACGAGGAGTGGAAGCGCGAGGGTCGGCGGGAACCAACCACTGTTGGTTTGCTCTTCTATTTCAACAGAGTATATATCCAGGATGAATGCTACGTATACTATTGCTAAATAATATAAGTTTTGCTGCTCCTTACGATAATTTTGAATTTATTTTCTGGCGCGCGACTAGTGGCTCATATGTACCATGGACTCCTCCTACTTTCATATGATTTCATCAGTACACGTACTCCGGTACTTGCTAATATTCACAGGCTACCGAGTGTCATGTTATTTGCTTGATTGTATTGTATCGAATTTGTACAACTGCACGAATGTGTAACCGTTTAGCACACAAGATTATCAATCTTTCGTCATTACTCGATACTCATTACTAAATGAACCACAGACGCTTACTTGTTATTTTTTCGTCGAACTGTTTCCCGAGCAGTCTGGGCGTCTAGGGTTTCACTCCCTATAATGGGCTACACTTAGTCATTACATGAAGGTACATAGTACTTTCTATGTACCTTCTGTATGCATTGTGGAGCTGACTGGGTAAGCCACTTCAAACAAACTTAAGGGCAATGGCATTGGCCAATGACAATTAACTTTGATTTTCGCGAGATTCGCTCGAAGACTGAACTGTTGCGCCCGGAGCTTGGAATTTGAAAGCTTGAACATCCGTGGAAAGTATTTAGTAGAAGTGATTGGCTTTAGCTGACTTATTCAAAGGTAGATACGCTTCGATTTCGTCACCAATTCAGATGGAACCAACATAACACAATATGGATGTTACGTATGCATTTGGTAGCAGCATACTGTAAAATTCTTTTTTGATAAATGTCACTTCATCTTTCCTTCCTCGTTCAATTAAACAGCGGCTTGCTGGAAGTGAGCGACACGCGGTGAAGCGTGTTAATTAATATTAGGCCTCCCCAGTAACTGCATGTATACTGACGGACAATTTCCGGTACATGTCTACAGCAAATCATACAGTTGTAAAACAGTGTGCGTTTGTATGATGGAGAATTATGTGCGTAGCATGTGCGCACAACGGTCGCTGTGATAAAGTGATTTTCTTCTTTTGATTGGATTTGTATTGCGCAGATTTTGCGAGGGTAATAGCTGTACGAGCTCTTCACAGTCATACAAAGTCCAGCAACATTATACTTTATGACGAGGATAAGATTTTTGGCCGTACAATTCGGCTTATGAAAAGCGCTTGGTATCTATATCCCGAGTATTTTCGCTGTTGAATATGAATATTTTGTTATCGAGGGGACCATGTAAAGCATTGCCTTCTATCTTTTTTAAAATTTGCTACAGTAATGCACTGCTGCACTGTTTCGTTTGAGAACGTAAGAAAAGCGAGATCTTAATAGATATACAGTTTGAGAGACCGTGGTGCTTCCAACGAAGATTGGACTAAACATTCCTAAAAAGGCTTGCCCGTGCATTTTATAACTGGAGAATGCTTACAGGCAAGCGGTAACCACTTCTGGGTCTTTGGTCACCGGTTGCGCTGTCAAGCTGAAGTCTAATAGAATAGGATAGTACTTACCATATAATGATAATCCCGATTAGATAGGAGATCCCCATGCTATATCATCTCAGAGAATACGGTTACATTCACACGGTCTAAGTATGACAAGCTACCGTGTTCATTTGGGTCACGCGCAACGTTACAGCCTCGTAGAGTGTATTTCTCTATCGCACAGAGGTTGAGCTTTAAGGCATATTTTAAAGCTTGCTACGAATATATTTAATTTGGATTTCTTTTCCAAAGATATATAAATCCATTGGACGCATTTTGTAAGGCTAGTTGTGCCTTATGCACTTTTCCTTTTTAAGCACTATCAATCACGTTCCTTTCTATTTAGTAGCTATGGTGCTTTATCATAGTACATTCCCTTTATGTTTTCTTCTTAGCTTTGCTCTGATCTTTAGTAAGAATACTGTAATGTACTTGAAAACCATAAAAGGGCAGCTACACCGTAATTTAAAAGTTCAGTAGTGTTTCTCTCACATAAATCAGGATGTATACCGGCACAGTGGCACTATACGGAGAATTGTAGACATGAAATTACAGCACTTTCTGTTCGGTTTTCGAAACAGAAAAAAAAATTGGCGACGAATGCGAAACTTTGATTGCCGCGTCTACCCAATCTTAGCCTTCTCAGCAAAGAAGGTGCCTGTTACCTTGGTCTGCTCGCAAGTACAATGCTATTGATCCAATAACAATATTTTTTGCATGGTACTCGTATTTGAATATAGCACAGACGAGTGGTATTCTGACACCACGCATCTGATCGTAATCAGCAAAGGGTGCACCGCCTTCTTTGAATATTATTTTATCTCGAAATCCAGGCGCATCTCTCGCTGCCAGCTGACCTCCTTAAGGATTTATCTCCATCACGAAAGATATACAAAAGTCCTCAGATGTGGTTTCCGACTATGTATACCCCTCTTCTTATGTCTCATCTACTTTAAACTCAGCCAGAAACTCAATTACTTCGAGTTATTCTCTATCTGCTAATTCTTATGTCCGGCGATACCGCCGACTTGCTTAACTCCTTTTCTCCGATAACATATCACAATGGCGTTGATGCAATGGCACCATACGGCAATTTCCGTGGTAAGAATCAATTGTGTTAGCTCCCAGTCATCTGTGACCTGTTGTTTACATTTCACCATATCGTTATGATTCGACGTGCCCCTTGAGCAGACACGTCTTTCTCTGGTCTAGAGGCAGCCCCATTCGAGGAAGGCACAAAAGACGATTCTGTGTGGACTACACAATGTTTCGTGGGCACGAGAGGACCACGAAAGTGAGTATAATTGCTGAAGAAGGGATAAATCTGCTCTCTGTGTAAATTACATGGTTTCGCAGTCATGGAAACAGCACAACACATCGCTCTGACTTAAACTGATAGAGAGTTTGCCGTGTGTGTTCTACGTAACTTCGAAAAAATTGCTCGCTCGACGAAGCTGCTAGAGTGTGCATTCCAACAAAATCGCGCCGACTTAAAGTTGAAATCTTAATACAATGCTGGAACAAACAGAGGATCGACATCATCACCGGCGATATTATCACCTTCTACCATCAATATGGTAGAGCCGTCTACGTTGTTGCCGGAGGAGGATGCAAAGTACTTGTCTCGATTCCTCTGCCAAAGGCTCTTCGCAGCTGCTGAAGGATCAGATGATGTGAGGAGGTCGGCAAAGATATCATCCCTAAGAATGAGAGAAGCGGTCGGTCGTGCCGCCGACACTTCCTCATCCTCTTCTGTAATATCCTCATCAAAGACTGGTGCTGCAGCTGCTTCAAATATCGACTCCATCTCTTGTTGCCACCACAACGCTCGCTCTCGCTGCTGCTGTAGCTAGTTACCTCGTGGTGGTGGTGATGGACTGAGCTATGTAATGAGGATAGTGATGTGCAGTCGATCGGTAACAAGACGGAGCGAGTCGAAGGAGTAGAAAAAAATAGAAGAGCAATTACTGAGGAGGATCGATGATGAAGAAGAGGACAAGGAGAGTCAGGAAGGAGAAAACCCGTCAAAATGGTTGGTGGAACTTGAGTTCAGTGGTCAAAAATACTCATCATCATTCTTCCTGTGAGCAAATTTACTTTTGACATGAGTAAACTGTACTCATAGACCATGAGTATACTCATAGATGTTTTCGCAGGCAGTACTCAAATACATGAGTGGACTCATGGCCTATGAGTAACGTTACTCATAGCGTTACTCATCCGGTCAGTGAAGATATCGAGCATCCTCGAAGATGAGGCCCTAAAAAGCATCGTCGCTGGCCAAGCCGATTGAATGCATAGAAGCTTGCTCGATTTTGATTTGCCACAGTCCTCAGTATAACCCAAATCTCCGCGGTTTAAGGTGCACTTTTTTATGGAGGGAAGTTGATGTCTCCACCTGGATATGTGGACCAAAGCTAGCCGTGTAGACAACTCTGATCACAATCGAGAAAATCGTAAGTTATGTGCGGTCGGGTCCAATCGAAGAGCAAATCGTACACGCGTGAAGTGGTAGAGCCTAGGATGTTATGCATCTTGGCCGCATCGGTATGACAGGCCTAGTGCCTTCTTCTTCCGGCAGCGAATGAGTGCCACCAGCGACAGCGGTTTATCTTTGATAGCAGAGAAGGCACAAGCCTGAATATGCATATTTATGAGATGTGCATGTTGAAGGCATAACTACTCGGAGGCAACCTATCTGGATATGTCCAGACGTGGATGTGGCTCCCTCCGCACCCAACTGTTGCGAGCGAAACTCTTGATGATGGAGGTGGTGAACCAGATCGCGTTTCAAGAGGATAGAGCCACAAACGGACCCATACATCGTCGATAGGAAAGCAGGTGCATTTCATCCCCTATATTTTCTAGGACCAGTAGCAGCTGCTGACCAGACACAAACGAACACAAGAGTGGCTGAGTATAGCAACATACATTTAATTACTCTAGCTGGGGAATGTGGTGGCACATGTCACCTGTCTGTACTACTGTCGGACATATACACATAAAATATTCTCTCACTCTTAGTACAAATTTGCGAGGTCAGCAGTAAGAACCACGTCCACGAAGCTAGGAAAACGCGTTTCCCCAGTAGAGGTACGTGTCGCTTTGAGCAGATAGAAAAACTAGCGCACTATTGGAGCTGTTCGAGTTTGAGAGATTAATGATCAATGATCAAGCCAGAGGCTGTGGAATCAGTCAATTTAAAGGGGTGCCCTATCAAAGTAAAATTGAGGCCTCGTCATGGGTCATGACTATCACGCACTGCTGGAGCGTAGTTCCTAAAAATTTGGGTACCCTTAAAGAAGTCTTAAGCAGTGGAGCACTGCTGTGGTACACTCAATTCTACACAGGTTTCATGCAAATCTTGATTGATTCTGATGCACCGGCGAGCTTCCGCACTGCCAAACAGTCGCGAGGAATCACGACGGCTTGCCGATGCTCGACGGCCAAGCAAAGGTAAGTCAGTCTTGATAGACTACGACGATTAGGGACCCAAGGCTCGAAGCCGGGAGCATTTGGGTCGATTGATACTACAAGACTGTTGCTGCCAGCCGACATGCACGCTCTGACAGAGCTGCGGTTGGTCACGTTTCCATTTCTGTCAGCCATTCGGGGCGACTCAACGGGATCAACAAGGAGTTCAAAATAAAATATTGTTAGTTTCATCGTAAAGTTACCGACCCTAGGGTGGTTGTGAGATCAACTCCCTCGCGAGCCGGTTAAAAACGTTTCGCTAATTGCAAAGTACTCAAAGAGGTAGAAAATGGCGCTTTCATAGATATGACGCACTTCGATACTTTTACAAAAACCAGATCCGGTCAAAAAAAGAGTTTTGGGGGATGAATTGATGTACTTGTATGACCAACTAGATTCAACACCGAGTCATAGGTGATGCCATGCCACGAAAAGTGACGCAGCCTGAGCCGATGCAACTCAGCTATGCTGAAAACGAGGAGGCAGGGCTCCAAGCAGCTGAGCAGAATTTTAACACCCAAAGGAGCCTTGATGTGCCTTGCGCAGGGTACATTCAACCCGAAGGTGACGGGTGTCTCCACAGAAAAAACACGCTACGTGTTCAAGAGCACGGGATGTGCCCTGCTCCTTGAGGCTCAAATGAACTCAGTTCTCCCCTAGCAGGCCGCCCCGCGCCTACTAGTTGTTGTCGGCTCCCCGCGACAAACCAGAAGACTGGTAAGAAGCGGGACGTCGATTCGATGGGCCGATCCTTTTCCCGAGACGGTCATAGTGGCCATCTTTATGCAGATCCTCCGCATTGGCGTAGCCAGAATGGAGGTTTTCCACGTGCACACATCTTCTTTTGAAGAAGCAGTGAATGTGGACACAGCTAATAACAATATATTTGGTCTTTAACGAGTAATACATGCAAATAATCATCAGTATGAGTCCGTTTCAAAGAGTTCCACAGACCGGATGAATATCGGGTAATTACCCAAGAGATGGGTGAGTATGGGTGAGTATCGTACATTTCACATTACTCGAGCTAACTCATGGCCTATGAGTAACATGAACTCATAGGGAGGTCTTTATGAGTCATGGGTGAGTACAAAGTACTCGAGTTACTCATACATGTTTTCCGCAGCGGTACTCATGGGATGAGTACTTTTAGAGACGTCTATGAGTACTGCATGAGTAAATTGCTGACTGTCTACAAGTAAACCCATGAGTAAAATCATGAATACTTGCATGAGTATCCAGCCAGCAGCAGTAGTAGGCAGCTGCGCGCGCCCACAAGAAGTATTGTGTT